AATACTGCATTGCAAATTTTGCTGCAGTTGGGGTTGGATCTTTTACTTCCCAGTCTTGTAACAAGGATAAAAGTTTGTCTTCTTTATTGCATGTTCAGGCCCTTTCGAAATCATGCTATTATTGACTTCTAAATATTTCTGAATTATTTCCCCTCTCTCTGAAGATACCACTAAAATTCTCATTAATTCTCTTACTGTATGCAGGTCTGATGATTGCAATTAGCTGCTCATTGGTCTTCCTTGATCTATAAAAATACAAAGAATGGTATCTTCGTTTTCTCTCATTTTTCAGGCTCATAAATATGATAATGTCTTTTGGTTTCCTTGCCCTGCCTTCTTGACTCTTATGTTCATTTTTTAAAAAAATGCATCTTTTAAATGCTTACAGTTTGTCATTCTTCTTTATCTTTGTTCTTTAATTTATTTTAAATTCTTAGTGCTATGCACCAGAGTTGTTAAATCTGGTCCTGGGTTTGCACAGGATTAGAAGCTTCGAGAAACTGAATGCCATTGAAGATTTAGAGAACACCACTCGACAGGGTAGTCGTATTACTCTTGAAGGAATAGGAATCATAGAGCAAAATGAAACTCCCCAGTCCAAATGGCAACTAATGATAGTGCAAATTAGGGAATACAGTGGTACCTCAGGTTACATACGCTTCAGGTTACATACGCTTCAGGTTACAGACAGAAATAAGGCAGAAATAGTGCTTCAGGTTAAGAACTTTGCTTCAGGATGAGAACAGAAATTGTGCTCCGGTGGCGCAGCAGCAGGAGGAGGCCCCATTAGCTAAAGTGGTGCTTCAGGTTGAGAACAGTTTCAGGTTAAGAACGGACCTCCGGAACAAATTAAGTACTTAACCCGAGGTACCACTGTACAAGAAGAGCCTGCTGGATCAGCCAAGGGCCTATCTATTCCAGCATCCTGTTCTCATCAAGCAAGCAGAATTCAAGCACAAGAAAACCATGGAAAGGGGCAGTGGATGCAACAGAGTTTCCTTGAAGAATGCATGGCACCCTGAGAATATTCCTCACTGCAACATTTTGTTACAGGTCCCACTTTTTTGCAAACTTAATGTTATTAAGTCTGCAAAATGGGATAAAATATTTCAGAGGGTTTTTTTCTGGATAACTAAGAACACTGATATCTAGTGATGTCAGACATAGCTATGTGTTGGTAGTGCAACAGCAGGGATCATTTAGTTTGCAATTTAAAGAGTTATTTCTGTTAACATTAGCCAAGGGGTGTGTGTGTGTGTGTGTGTGTGTGTGTGTAGATGTTGCTTAGCAACCAGGCAAAGTGGCATGCTTGTTGCTGAGGCAGCATGTGCTCTGATTGGTTGTGTAGTTCTGCAGAAGCTTTCCGCTGTATGTTTAATGTAATGTCTTCCAGCTTAGGTACAAGGCCTGACCAAAGGACGACAAATCCTCCCTGCTCCTTTCCTCTCAAATTATACACTGTCCCCCCCCCCCATCTTCCCCAGTACAGTTTTACGAGACCTTTTCTCTCTGGACTCTGTTTGTGTTATATAAGTGGCTTGGCTAACAACAACTTTTGCAAATGACCACATGGGAGAGGAAGAGCCCAATGTTTCTAGTCCCTCAGCTACACAAATGGAGTGGCCCTGCATCCCTTCTCAGCCTGATGGAATAGTGAACTAGATGGCGGAGGGAGGAGTCTCAGCTGAGAAACTCCCGTAGGGGCTCCTGTATCCCTCCCTCCCTCTGTTCTAGCCATATGACAGTACTGGCTTAATAAGTGGCTAAGGAACAGGAAACATGACTATTTTCTAATGGGTAGAAATGGGGAGAAATATTTGTTGGTGAAGTTTTGGAACTTTTTTTTTCAGGCCTCTTCTTTGGGCACTTTTAATTTCTCTTCACAGATTCCTCTGGGTCACCAAAAAGAGAAAAGAAAACCACATAAAAGCTAGTAAGATTTTCTTGTTTAGCTTTATTGCAGTTGGTCATCAGTAAGGAAACAAAAGAACAGGTGCCTGAAAAGGCCCATTAGAAACATTCTCAAAACAACTCCAGCTGCAATTAAAACAGAAGAGAACAAAAAACTCAATTGTGTTTTCCACAAAAACAGCAGTATTTAGACATTTATAGAATAATGGTCCCACTATTTCAAGAGACATGTGGCAATATACTTTTAATAGAATAGAATATTTTAAAACCTAATTTTATTGTTTAAATTAGACCAAATTCTTAACATTGTATTTTATCAATCATTTTTATTTATATTTTATGTAAACCATTTAGAGGCTTTGATGATGGTATAAGTGGTATAAAAATTCTGTTAAATAATACGTTAAAAAATTGGGGGGTTGGTAACGGCTGCCACATGCATATGAAAATATTCAGTATTGAAATGAACCTCTTCTCCTCCAATTGAATGAAGTGTAGTTTAGTTACCCCTATTACAGTGGACCCTCTAGTTACGTACCGCTCTGGATACGTAACTTTCGGGTTACGAATGTGGTAAAGCTGGAAATGTATAATTCCAGGTTTTGCTGCACATGCGCACAGAAGTGGTGCCTCTGTCTACAGACTTATGGGGTTGTGGACGGACCCCCAGAATGAATTTAATTTGTATCCGGGGGGTCCACTGTATATAACTTAGGAAGCATTGATTTCCTCCCCCTCCCAATCCATTTCTCTCTCTCTTTCTCTCTCTCTCTCTCTCTCTCTCTCTCTCTCTCTCTCTCACACACACACACACACACACACACATTCATTTATTTATATTTATTTTATTACATTTATATCCTACCTTTATTATTTCATAGAGTCCCAGACTGAGAACACATAGCTCCCAGCTAGTATCCCATCCAAGCACTGGCCGGACTCAGAGCTACTTAGCTGGAGTAAGATGGTGGCCTCATGTGCTTTAAGACTTTGGTATTTTTTATATTATAAACTTGAGAGCAGGGACTGCCTTGTTTGGCTTAGTTTAGCTTTGATGTTGTTGTTTTTGGCTGAAAGGTAGCGTAAAAAATCCCTATAAATAAATAAAATGCAGCAAGACAAGGTTGCATCTCATTTGTGATGCTAACATGCCGGGAACAGGGGTTCATTTGCCAGCATACAGAAAGAAAGAGGCAGGAAAGAGCTGCTTAAGGAACTGGAGACAATAAGAAGTTACCGCAAGTCCTGTTCTGGCCATATTGCATCATCATGTAACCACAGTCTCATCTGCACTGTATGTTCAAAACTCTTTCGTACCACTTGTAACAGTCATGCCTTCCCCTAGACAATCCTGTAGCTTGTTAAGGGTGCTGACCTCACAAGCCTGCAGTTCCCTGGACCCTCCACAAACGATAGTTCCCAGGATTATCCATTGCTATTATAAGAGTGCTCTAAATGCAACCACAGAAATGGGCATGAATTAACCCTAAGCAATCTTTCTTACAGATGCAACTGTATGCTACAGTTCTGCTATCTGGAGACAAGCACTTCATCAGAGGGCTTAAAATATGGGGTTGAAACATGGACTACAACTCCCTTCATCTCTGATCACTGACCATCGTGGCTGGGGCTGATGGGAGTTGTAGTGTAATATCTGGAGGGCCACAACTTTCCCAGGCCTGCTTTCAAACTGATCTGATTTCCATGCAAAGCAATTATCTCTAGTCTTATATTGTTTTTTAAATCAACAACAATAACACCTACGATAACATGTTACAAATATATTAAAATGCTGCGCATGGACAACCCAGACTGTGTCTGCAAAAGGGCACTAATGCATACATGGGCCTTTTTCCAATGTGTATGTATGCTTGTGTGCTGTTGCCCACGCAACAGTGCTTTGGGTTTAATGCCTCTGCAATCTCTCTTGACGTTTTCAGTCCATATTAGTGGGTGGAGCTTGCTGGGGTGTATCTGTGCTCTGTGTTGTCGTCCCCTCCCCTCATTTAGTACTCCCCCACACTCTGCAAGTCCCAGAAACTTGAGGCCCGTGTTGTGGGAACGCACACAGGTATTTGTCTACCTGTGCATGCACACTGTTTTAGAAAAAAAAGTCTACCAGATTTAACCTGGACTGGGAAAATCTTGATTTAATGGGACAAAAGTGCAGGCTGCCAGTTGGATGAAGAAGACATCTTGTGGGCAATGCCAAAGAAACCTGAGGCAGCTACAAATACACATTAAACTCCTGTGTAGTTGAGCCCTCCACTATGTGGGTTGATTTACAGTGACATGGACAAGCCTGTACACTGTTATTATTTCTGTGCCATTCCATTGAGATCAACAGATAGCCTTTAAGCAGCTTCAGAAAGGCAGGATTTGATGCTTACCTGTGTAGAGTGTGGTGCCTTGGTTCATGACCTTGGTTTCCAAACCCATTAATTCCCCTTTTAAAAAACCACCAAAGGCAGAATAAAACTAAAAGGGGAAATGGCCTGTTTTAATTTTAAAGCTTATAGTAGTGTTGGGAAGGAGATGCATTTTGACGGAGTGAAGCAAAATACTTTAGAAATGTAAGGCTGGGAATTACAGCTACTCAACAACCCCTTGAGAGAAACTTACTGCTCTCAATCTGAATAACAGATTGAGATGGGGAGATGGTATTTAAAGCATTCCTATGTGTTACATATTTCACAGCTTCATTCACGCGGGGAAGGGGGGGGGCAAACATACACACAAAAGTTGTGTTTCTTTTAAAGCATGCATAGACATCTGCAAGAGATCTCCAAGCACAGAACTGTGACAGATCAGAAGGGGTGGGGTGGGGGGGAGTGTCATTAGCTGAATACTACTAGTAACATCTTGGCTCTCCAGAAATCTTTGCTCTTTAAATTCTATTTTTTTTAAAAAAAAGGAACAAAGCAAGGGCTTGTGTTGGGGAAAAGTAATAGAAAAGCAGCCTAGCAGAGAGCCAATATGATAAGGCAGATGTGGAACAGTTGCTTTTTCAACTGCACTTCTTGCAAGCTAGCTCTTTTCCTTACCATGATTTTCTTCTGTTCTTTCTTCTTGGTGTGCAACGAAAACAGATGGGTGCTTCTCCAGGAAAGAGTTGGACACCTCGAGAAACCTTTTCGGATCTCCTTGGAATATATTGCTAGTGGGAACAGAAGTGTAGCTGTCATTGATTCCTTTGCAATGAAGAACTGCAGCACAGGTAAAGATTCTGTCTTTCTCCCCACCCTAATTCTAATGTATTCCACTTACAAGGTTGTGGGCACAGTAGCACACATACACATATATGCTTTATTTTGTAAAAATTCTGCCTATGGAAATGTTTTGGGGAATATATTTTTTCCATTCAGTGCTTTCATCCTAATCTCAAATCCGCTAGTGTCTGCACTAATAGAAAGACGGTGCTGCTTTGGGCACTGAATAGAAAAGAAAACTATTAATGGCATGACCAATTGTTTTGTTCAAGTACTCATAACAGAGTAAATAAAGCAGCTCAGTTGTTGTTTCCTACAAAAATTGGATAGAATTTTATGTTTATTTCTTATACATGCAGTGCAATTATATGCACATTGACTCAGAAGCAAGCCCTACTGTGTTCAGTGGGGTTTGTTCTCTGGTAAGTGTGTGCGAGATTGGAGTTTCAGGTTCCAGTCTTATCCTCAGTGATCAAGGAGTAGGGGCCCAGGGTCCCACTGAACATAATGAAGTTTACGTCTGAGCAGATATGTAAAGAACTGCATGGTCTGTCTCTTTATGGCAATATGCTGCTGTTGTCAACTCACTCCCATGGTAGGTGTTCCCAAGCCAACGCGGTGTAGTGCTTAGCATACTGGATTCCAAAGAGATCTTTGTCCAAATCTCATCTCATCCATAATATACTGTGAGGGATCTCGGGCCAGTCATACCCACTCTGTGTGCCTCTGCCTGTTCTACCTTACAGAGCTATTGCAAGGATAAAGCAAGAGACCATTTTGACTCCCTAAATGAAGGGTGGGATATAAGCAAAATAAGAAAAACATAAGAAAAGGTTTCAGATGGGTTGGAGGTACAGATTGACACCAAAATACTGCCTGCATAGAAATCCAAATCATATCTGGGGGTCTGTTTGAGAAAAAGCCAATTGAAGACAAGAAAGGTTTCTCAAAAGGGTCTGCAAATCGATAAGTCAAGAATAGTTATGATTTTACCTTCAGTGAAATTTTAAATGAATGAAACCAATGCCTGCCATATTTAGAACTGGGAGTCTTTCCACTTTCTATCTATCTAAAGCTCCATCTCTCTTCTTGAATCCCAGTCCCCTACTTTTGCCTACAACCTAGTGATATCCAATGAGTCTTTCTTCTTCCTTTCTGCCCTATTCTGTCATTAGTATTCAGTATTTAACACAGCAGTCTGTGACTCTATTTTGAATAGGTTGTTACTCTTACTGATGTCAAATGAAATTGAATGTTGTCTCTAATCAATCAAACTTGATTGATTTGGTGATCTGAATTACTTGTGCGTAATATTTCTTGGCTCATGATGAATGTGAAAAATTTGGCATTCTGGATGCTGCAAGGCTTGGGTTTTGGTCTTTCAGTAACCAGTGCTTTTTTGCTAGAAAAACTGGTGCAAAAACTCCCTAGGTTGTTGAGCTTCTTTTAGGGAGCCGCCAAAGTTGTACAGGTTGAACGCAACTTACACAGACTTCACTTCCACAACCGCAACTTTTTCAGCACTTCCGCCTTACTTGCCAGGCTCTGGAGGGTTGTGCAAAGCAGAGTTGCAGTGGTCTATTGTGATAGCACCCCCTTGACCCGGTGCCCTCTCCCACAGTCTGCTGGGTTCAAGTCTGCTGGGTTCAGGTGTGTGTATCTGAAGATGGGGGGCTAGGACAGACTATGGATTATTTATATTTTCATTGTCCCTTCTGTTAGATAAATACACATTTTTTGTCAATGCTGTGGGAACCACTTAAACTTGACACATTTTAGAATCTCAGCAGGTTGTAATCTGACCCTGGGACTAATGTGAATGTGGTAAGAATGAACAGGTACACAATACAAGGAGAACCTGGTGGAAGTCTAGCAGGGGGGAAGCATGTTAACAGGTTTCAACACTGACTAGTTGCTGTAATTTCAAAACTTGCAGTAGGTAAGTGCTAAGTTCTTACTGATTTCATATGAAGCAAGATAGCTCCAACTCATAGTATCTGGAGATAATGTTTAACTCTATAGTTACCACAGTATGTTTCATGCCTTATAGAGAGGCATTCTTCTTATTACACAGAATGTTTGTGTGTGAGAGGATAAGAGGTAACCTTGGTTTAGGAACTTAAGAGGGTCTATATTCCACATATTTGTTACGTGATATTAAGACAGTTGCCGAAGTTGCAGTTCTAACTCTGAATAAATCATTTGAAGTTGTTTCCAATTTCTTTTGATGCCGTTTGCTAGAACAAAGCTTTATTTTTTTTACTCTAGGTTTCTCCTTTTCAAAGAAAAATAACAATACTTCCTTCCACCACTGTGGTGGTTTTAGGATAAATTAAAAACTGTAAAAGCAATCTGTGAAGTATGGTGTACTTTAAAGCCTAGTGGGAGTTGTTATCCAGCTGTGTTTAGGTAACTTAATTCATATCTATGGGCGCTGTGAAGGGCCAGATGGGCAGTTTTGCAATTTCTGCTGGCAACAACTTAAATCTAGAATGGAAATGTATAAGTAGAAACATAAAAGTATTAAAAGACTAGTAGGTTCTGTTCCTTTGCCTGGCAGAAGAATGACTCAGTGCCTGCCAGTGAATGCTGTCTAAATAGCTAAAGAAGCAGAGCTGTAGGAACCCACCTTCTAGGAAGCAGAGCCTGGAGCAGAGAGCTGAATTAAACTACGGGGGTGTTCATATTACAGTCTTTAGAGCTCAGTGAAGTTGTCCGCCCCCCCCACCTTGCATTTCATAGCACTTTCCCCTAGCTGCTCACAACAACAGAGCAATTAATGTCTGATGTGTATCAGTTTGTCACACCTAGGCTGGAGATGAATCAGGAAAGGCTTAAGGACCAACTGGCGTGAAGCTGGTTTGAGAAACAACATTCTCTAACAGTAGTATTTCACAACAAAGTACAGGATACATATGCATTTTGCATAGCATTGTGCAGACACAGATTAAAAACTCAGCACTGGAAATGCAGTGAGTGCACAGCAAACAAGAGTGTGAACACAGCCTAAATGAATTTTGTAGGTAGAAACCCACCCACTCGGATCTGCTTTGGGGTTTCTCCACCAACATTCTAGAGAAGATATGGGGTTATTGTGGGCAGCACTTATGGGGAGGGAAAAATCCACTGGGCTCACAGAAGTCATCCTATGTACACAGTTATTTCACTGGATACAACCCAGGCACTGACCTTTTGAAATGGAGGTGTGTGGTGTTCAAGTGATGTCTCATTTTGGGCCATCAAAATTTGAACAAAAGGGCAATAAAGGAACAAATGAATCTCTATGTTGCTTTCAAATGCTGCCTTTTCAGAAACGGAGGAGGGGAATAGCAAGCAAGAGGGGGAGACAAGCCCACCATTTAAAAGCTCTTAAAATTGAGTCCCACCTATGTAATTAAATGAAAGATGAGTTCACCTATTTCCCTATTTGTTCACATCAGCACAGCTTCAGTTCAGTTCTACACACACACACACACACACACACACACACCAGGAAGCTTTGACCAGTGGGGATGCAATTATCCTATGCAAAGGCTAGAGATAAATTAAGAACAGCTTAAGGACTCCAATCCGTGTGAAGCTGGTTTGAGAAACAACATATGAAACAGTAGAATCTTACGAAAAAGTACAGGATACATAGTGTCCTGCCCAGGGGTCAGCAAACTTTTTCAGCAGGGGGCTGGTCCACAGTCCCTCAGACCTTGTGGGGGGGGGGGCAGACTATATTTTGAAAAAAATATATGATCGAATTCCTATGCCCCACAAATAACTCAGAGATGCCTTTTAAATAAAAGGACACATTCTACTCATGTAAAAACACGCTGATTCCGCAGGCCGGATTTAGAAGGCGATTGGGCCAGATCCAGCCCCCGGGCCTTAGTTTGCCTACTCATGGTCTTGCCTAATGCCATGTGAAAACAGATTGAAAACCCAGCACTAGAAACACAGTGAATGCTGAATAAATGGGTGTGTGAACACAGCGAAAGTCTCTGGATCCTTTGCTGGAATTTTGCTTTGCAGTTACTTCCTCTAAAATTATGCTTTTCTTTGCTCATTTTTTTATTTCCTTTCTACCACAGATAGGAAATATTCCTCCAACAAACTGCATAACATCTGTGCTTCAGCGTACGTTGATTCCTCGGCAATCTGTCTAATGCTGAACGGACACGTTTAAGGCACATCCACCACCACCCTGGGGGGGGGACAGCTAAGACAGGAATCATAAGAACATGCTGCTAGAAACCAGACTTTGGGAACACAAGGACTAGACTGCTTCTGGTCAGATCTTCCAGTAATGCCTGTGTGAAGGATTGTTATGATAACCGGAGTAGCATGATCCATCTCTTGATCTACTAATAATAATTTATATCAATAATAAAACCACCTGTGAAGCTCATTGAGCTGGCCGTGTTCTCTGTGTCCCTTGCCTCTGGCTTTGCATTCCTTCCTGATTACGTTGTCTAGTTGAGGTTTCCATTTGCTTTTCATCTGGCCCAAGCTTTGGACCTCTGGCATGTTTCAGACCATTTCCTCATACTCTGCATCCTAAAGGTCTTGGTGATGCAACTATCAGATTGGCTCTTCCTGTCATTACAGCTTTCTGCATTGTTGAAGAGCCAACCGCAAAACAGCTGCTTTACTATAAGAAGTTTCCATGCAAAGCTGCCTTAATAATAGTAATTTGGGCACCTGCCCTGAATGCACACTGTATCACACTTTATTTACTCACAACACCACTTTCCAGAGGTGGGTGGCAGACCTGTAAGCGGTTGTGGCTGAACTGACTGTGCCTCATGGGATGTTGCTATGATTTAATAGCATTTGTGAATTTTGTAAGTAGCCCACTGACATCAGCTCAAAAGCTAGCCTGCACTTCTACGAGCTATGGTTTTCGTCTTTGTAAGGCCAGAACTAAAATTTATCCTTTTTTAAAAGCACTATGTGGTATCAGTAATGTAGGGTCAAATGTACAATATGTTTTACTGAACCAATGGTAGCTATTGCATGC